CATTTTGTCTCTCATAGTTGAGGTATATCTATGATGAAAATTACCGGCCTCTCTCATCTTTTTGAGTGGGAGAACCTGAACTATTGGTGGCTGACTAAATACTTTTTTGCCCCACTGTACATACATCCAATCCGATTTGATTGTCACGCTCTCTGTAGTTCCTCTGTGGTGAAAGCATGGGGAGACTGTTATGCGCCTTTAGCGAGCATGCACATTTCCTGTTGCTTGCACAGTGAATCGTGCCGCCTGCGCTGTCTGAAGATGCAGGGGAAACCATATCTGATGTGGAAATGCAGCTCAACGTGGCACCTCCTGCTATCGGTTAGTCAGAATGACAATTCTCCATGTATGTGACTTTTGGCAGAAACTTACCGCGGAGTGTGAAGAATTGTCTCGAACGCATGGAGAGGCTGTTTTGTATGCGAGCAAAGATCGTTTTGTACTCTGGGTGTTAGCTTCAAAAAATTGTGAGTTCATATAGGACAAAAAATGAATCTGACACACCAATGGATTTTCAAATACAGCTTCCTGCAGGAGGAGAAAGGCTGCCTGCTCACACTTCAGCACCTTTCTGTCTCCCACCAGAACAGCAGAGTCTTTTATTAACAGACCACAAGCAAATGGATAGGTCTTAGGACAGAAAACCCTGTAATGATTATCTAGCTGGATGAAGGTCATAAAACAGCATGACCCTGCTTTATGACCAACTGGCTGGAGGCAGGACTTCAATGTTTTATATGCACAAACATTAACTTTATAATCATCATTGAATAAACTTAACATCCCCCTGTTGTGCATATAAACACCAGCATCTTTCAATTAATATTGTATGCATAGAAGTAGGCATATGAGTACAAACATAACAGTCTGTTTTGTTCAAATCTTCAGCAACACGCTTGGAATGCTGCCACCACATATTGGCACTGTAGGATGACTTGCTGTGGATCCATCAAAGACCATTCTGTTCCTCCTTTGTTTTACACAGTCAGTTTGAGTCCCTAGGAACACCACTCCAACGGTCATCACCAGGCAGCAAAACCACTTTGGTTTTTCCCATCTTCACCAGTCCGTCCAAGGAAGCACCCACTAACCAGGACCCTAAACGACAGGGTCAGGTTGATTTCTTCACCAGCGTTGAGACGATTGGTCCTAAAAAACCAAACCCCTTTGAAGCTGGACTTCACCACAGATCCCTACCTTAGTTGTGGGTCCCTGTGAAGGTAACTGGGCTTCTTGCTGAGGAAAGTCTTTAATCAGCTTACAATGACTCTGGTGGATTCAAGTCTCTCTTTCCTGGATCTCTTCACAGTGGTGGGGGTTGCTAGTTGCACAATGTAGGGTCCTTCCCACCTCAGAGCTGCCCATTTTTTCCTTTGGATGATTTTAATCAGCACTCGGTCTCCAGGCTTCAGGACTTCCTGTGGGGAAACAAAAGGAGCTCCGGGCATATTACATGTTCTTAGAACAGTACTGCATCTGAACAGCTTCAGAATTCACTTAGTTAATGGGTCAATGTCATCTTGTTCTTTTTCTGCCCATGGCTCTCCTTCCCATAAAGGTAGAACAAAAGGTCTCCCATCACTATTTCAAAAGGGGTAAAACCATCAGATGTTGGAATAATCCTCATCTCATAAGTAATTTTACCAGGTGCAAACACTCTGGTCATGGTTTTCCTGTTTCTGCCATGAATTTTCTCAATCTATTTTTAATTTTTCTCCAGTAATTCTCTCCACTAATCCTGCACTCTGTGGATGGTAGGAAGAGTGATGTTTCAAAGTTATGTTTGAATGTTTGGACATTAGTGATACCATTTCATTCACAAAATGTGTTCCATTATCACTTTTTAAGATTTTTTGGATACCATGCTGAGGTATGATATGTTTACATAACGCTTTTGCTACTGTCAGCGTATTTGCATGTTGTGTGGAAACAATTTCTACCCATTTAGAAAAATAGTTCACTAGGAATAGGCAGTACCTGTACTGTCCACTTGGGGTCAGCTCAGTGTAGTCCATGCTAATTACTTCAAATGGAGCTGTACCCCTTGGTTCCTGTCCTCGCTTATTTCTCTGATTTCCTTGTGAATTGTATTTACAACATGTGAGACATGCAAAAAATTATTTAAAAGCAGTAGTAGCTTCACACCTGTGTGTGTTACTATACTATATATTCATCATAACTCCCCCCTGCTGAGACATGATAATTTCATGGATCAAAATAGCTGCTGGTTTTAATCAGAATCAGAAATACTTTTATAATTCCAAGTTACAATTATATATATATATATATATATATATATATATATATACATATATATATATATATATATATATATACATCCAACTACACAATATAATAAAGAGAAAAAAATAAGAATATGGGGCAACTAATGTTTCCATGGCTCCCTTTAACCCTTAGAGTAAGACACTATAGGTTTAAGCTTATCACCATGAGTCTGTAAGAACACAGAGGTTAAACAGGCAACTGTTTGGATAACAGTGAGATAAGCTCTGCTCTAAGCTCTGTGTAGTTGTTCTGTTTCCTGAGCCCAGTGCATTGTGTCTGACATGGCATTAGTGTGTCATAAATCAGGCTTAAAAGAAGCTGAGTTCTTTCTGCATAGTGTGGATTCTAAGTTCTATTGTAATTGCACAATTCCAAAAAATACAGCATTTGTCTTGTAGTTACTGGCTTACGCTCACTTGCTATTGCAGTTTTTCACTCCCAGTATCTTTTTACCTTCTTGTAAAATAACATGTCCCAAATAACAGACTTTTTTCTACACCCAATAAATTATTTTTCTGGCTTTATACCTTCCTCTGCTTCAGCCGATTGTGTTTTATCCGTAGTCTGTATTGCGATTTAAGAACTATTTGAACTGATTCTACAGTTGTCAATAGTCCTACATCCATTTTTCCTGTAGACCACAAAGCATTTAAAATATCTTTTAAATAATTTTCATCAGATTGTGATAGCAAAGAATGCTGAGTTATAGTGGTCTACTGTTCAACTAACAGAGTTTCATCCTGTGGATCTGACAATGTGCTTCTAGCATAGTGCATATAAACACAAGAAGATTTTGTTGAAACACTATTTACATGTTCCACACATTCAGCCTTAATGCCCCCCTGTTTGGGAAAAATTGCTTAATTTTCCCATCAATTCCCATCTAACAGATTAATGGGGTGAGTTGGTGATCACTACAGAAACATAGAACCTTGCAATCTTTTTTTACTGTTTGAAGGTTTCCTAATCCTCGATTTACCGGTCGATCTACGTTCCTACCCTCATCTATGGTCATGAACTCTGGGTCATGAC